TTTATATACATATAATGGTTATGTACATATGTAATTTTCATTTTTAGTTTCCCGGAATATTATTGTTGAATTGTTTAATCGGCAGCACAAGGCTAGTTTAGAATTGGTTGTTCTTGATGCAGGGTTTATAGTTGATTAAAAGCACAAATTAATGTAACTCGTGGCTGGCCAGAATCCGTTATGTACATGTAGGTGGTTATGTACACATAAAATTCGCTATTTTTTGGAGATTTACACTTGGCGGCGGGTTATAGTTGGCTCGTTCAATTAAAGGCGGCGGATTAAAAGGGCGGATTGGTGAATTAAGCGGCGATTAAAGACCAATTTCCAACTTGATCGGGGGTGAAAAAAGGCGACTGGTGTGCACGCGGTTCAAAGCTCCCAAAATTCTCCTTTAATTTCCAGTTTCTCCTTTCCAGTTTCTACTCTCCAGATTCTCCTTTCCAGTTGCTCTCCTCCTAATTTTCCTTTCCAATTAGAAATGGCGGGTCCAGCTCCTTACGGTGAATTTCCAGTTTTATGTATGCACATAAAATTCACTTTATTTAAATAAATCCACAATTAAAGATGATGATTTGATGAGCAGGCGGTTTCTACTGGCAGCAAAAATTATTATGTAGATCCAGACGCCAGATTTATAGTTGATTAATAGCACTGTTTAATGTCACTAATTGCTGATCAGGAACCGTTTTAGTTATGTACATATATGGCAATGTACATGTAAAATTCAATTAATTTCCAGGAACACTATTGACGAATTATTATTAATTAGCAGTTTAAACTAGCTAATTTAGTCGGTATTTTTCCGTTGATCACTGGCACAGTTAGCGGCACTTTTAGCGGATCAGGAAAGATGGCATTTATATACATATAATGGTTATGTACATATGTAATTTTCATTTTTAGTTTCCCGGAATATTATTGTTGAATTGTTTATTCGGCAGCACGAGGCTAGTTTAGAATTGGTTGTTCTTGATGCAGAGTTTTTAGTTGATTAAACGCACAAATTAATGTAACTCGTGGCTGGCCAGAATCCGTTATGTACATGTAGGTGGTTATGTACACATAAAATTCGCTATTTTTTTGGAGATTTACACTTGGCGGCGGGTTATAGTTGGCTCGTTCAATTAAAGGCGGCGGATTAAAAGGGCGGATTGGTGAATTAAGCGGCGATTAAAGACCAATTTCCGAATTGATCAGGGGTGAAAAATGGCGACTGGTGTGCACGCGGTTCTAGGTTCAGAGTCAATTTCGGGGTTAAAAACACAGATTTCCGCAGATTTCCACAATCCTGGACGATTAGCTAGCTCAGGTTGTTTAGCAGCACGGTAGAATGGCCAATTAATAGCCAGTAGTCGCATTAATTAATTCCAGAAGCACACGTTGTTCACTGCACGTCCGCACCGCACCGGTTTACTTTCGATAATGGCCGCTCGATAACTGTTCTTTTCCAGGCACCTTCGTATTTTTCAGAGAAAAAGAGCCAGTTTTTTTTTTTTATATTATTTACTTAACTTTCTTTCCTTTGCTTTAATTATTTGCTATTAATTTTTACTGCCTAGTTAATTAAGTTAGCGTTTTTAGCTTAAGGCTCTTTGGTTTAATTTTTATAAAACGTCTAGTTAGTTCAACTGAGGCCGGAGCTCTGCTCGGCACGTCCGCTCTGCTCGACGACCGCCAAGCAACTCCTCGAGCAGGACGGATATCACAAAATACAAGATACAAAAAACAAGGGGGTCCATCCCGGTACACCAACCACTATGCTAAGTTACAGAGTTCTTAGTGGGCTATTGCAAAGTTACAAGAGATACAAAAATTCAGTCTATCACAATGTCAAGATACGCGCATGCCAACACTCCAACTCATCCAGGGATCAGTGTCTCAATACCGTAATTGTATGGCATCATTTTTGCACTGTCCTGGAAGGCGGGTGAAGACTAACGACGTTAGGCACGAATGTTAGACTTAAGACTATAGTTATTAAATTTAAGTGGAATTTTATCTTTACGTTAAGTTATTTTAAGTGGCTGGTGTAAGAAAAACGATTCAAAGTTAAACATGACAAATAAAAATACAACAAAAATGAGAATTTAAATGTTTAACTTAATCCAACGACGAAGGTAATCCGGAACGGAGCTGCTACATTTCGTGGCCGCAGCAGGATGCAGGTAGGTAAGGGCCAGAAGGGCCCTTGGGGCAGCTGTTCATCGACGTCAAGGCTCACGGGTGGGGCGAGTTTCCAGGAACACAAACGGCAACCCAGGGCGGCCAGGGCGTACTACGGAAAGCGATGGCGGCAATGACGTGGGATCGTTCCAGCGAGGTGTAGAAATTTGTGGCTCCTCCAGTCCAAAGTCCTCGCTCCACCGCGGGTGTTGATGTGGAAAATGATCGGGCATCAGTCGAGGTGAAGATCCATCAATTGCTGGCGGCTCCAGGTGAAGAGGAAAATTTGTAGGTCACCCAGGTCCAGGGGTAATATGGCCAGCATTGCAGCGCAGGTACTATCATGGGCTCCAGGATGCTCCAGGTGTTGCAGAAAAATTGCAGGGCACCCAGGTATACAATGGCCGTTGCAACCATTTGTTTCAGGTAATGCTGAGAAATGTCAGAGCATCCAGGTAAGTATTTGCATTATTTCCAGGTGGGTATCCATCGCTGAGTTGGCATCCAGGTGGGTATCCATCGCTGATTTAGCATCCAGGAGAGTATCCATCGCTGAGTTGGCATCCAGGTGAGTATCCATCGCTGAGTAGTAGACATCCGGGTGAGTATCGTAGCTTTTTGTTGAGATCCAAATATGCATAGTAGGTATCAGGTAAGTACGATTTTAAATTAATTTCCAAACAGAAAAATATTTAAAATTCTGAATGGAAAAAATTGTTTATTCGCTGCGTTGGGATCCAGGTAAGTATCCATCGCTGATTTAACATCCGGGTGAGTATCGTAGCTTTTTGTTGAGATCCAAATATGCATAGCAGGTATCCAGAAGTACGATTTGAATTAATTTTCCAAACAGAAAAATATTTAACATTCTGAATGGAAAAATTATTTATTCGCTGCGTTGGGATCCAGGTAAGTATCCATCGCTGAGTAGTAAGCATCCAGGTGAGTATCGTAGCTTTTTGTTGTGATCCATATATGCATAGCTGGTATCAGGTAAGTACGATTTTAAATTAATTTCCAAACAGAAAAATATTTAACATTCTGAATGGAAAAATTATTTATTCGCTGCGTTGGGATCCAGGTAAGTATCCATCGCTGAGTATTAGGCATCCGGGTGAGTATCGTAGCTTTCCTGTTGAGATCCATGTATGCATAGCTGGTATCTAGTAAGTACGATTTTGAATTAATTTCCAAACAGAAAAATATTTAACATTCTGAATGGAAAAAATTGTTTATTCGCTGCGTTGGGATCCAGGTAAGTATCCATCGCTGAGTAGTAGGCATCCAGGTGAGTATCGTAGCTTTTTGTTGAGATCCAAATATGCATAGCTGGTATCCAGAAGTACGATTTGAATTAATTTTCCAAACAGAAAAATATTTAACATTCTGAATGGAAAAATTGTTTATTCGCTGCATTGAGATCCAGGTAAGTATCCATCGCTGAGTAGTAGGCATCCGGGTGAGTATCGTAGCTTTTCTGTTGAGATCCATGTATGCATAGCTGGTATCAGGTAAGTACGATTTGAAATTAATTTCCAAACAGAAAAATATTTAACATTCTGAATGGAAAAATTGTTTATTCACTGCGTTGGGATCCAGGTAAGTATCCATCGCTGAGTAGTAGGCATCCAGGTGAGTATCGTAGCTTTTTGTTGAGATCCAAATATGCATAGGTGGTATCCAGTAAGTACGATTTTAAATTAATTTCCAAACAGAAAAATATTTAACAATTCTGAATGGAAAAAATTGTTTATTCGCTGCGTTGGGATCCAGGTAAGTATCCATCGCTGAGTAGTAGGCATCCGGGTGGGTATCGTAGCTTTTTGTTGAGATCCAAATATGCATAGCTGGTATCAGGTAAGTACGATTTTGAATTAATTTCCAAACAGAAAAATATTTAACATTCTGAGTGGAAAAATTAGTTATTCGCTGCGTTGGGATCCAGGTAAGTATCCATCGCTGAGTAGTAGGCATCCGGGTGAGTATCGTAGCTTTTTGTTGAGATCCAAATATGCATAGCTGGTATTCAGGTAAGTACGATTTTGAATTAATTTCCAAACAGAAAAATTTAACATTCTGAATGGAAAAATTGTTTATTCGCTGCGTTGGGATCCAGGTAAGTATCCATCGCTGAGTAGTAGGCATCCAGGTGAGTATCGTAGCTTTTTGTTGAGATCCAAATATGCATAGCTGGTATCGGGTACATACGATTTTGGATTAATTTCCAAACAGAAAAATATTTAAAATTCTGAATGGAAAAATTGTTTATTCGCTGCGTTGGGATCCAGGTAAGTATCCACCGCTGAGTAGTAGGCATCCAGGTGAGTATCGTAGCTTTTTGCTGAAGTCCATATATGCATAGCTGGTATCTGGTAAGTACGATTTTGAGTTAATTTCCAAACAGAAAAAAGTATAACATTCTGAATGGAAAAATTGTCTATTCGCTGCGTTGGGATCCAGGTAAGTATCCATCGCTGAGTAGTAGGCATCCAGGTGAGTATCGTAGTTTTCCTGTTGAGATCCATGTATGCATAGCTGGTATCTGGTAAGTACGATTTTAAATTAATTTCCAAGCAGAAGAATATTTAACATTCTGAATGGAAAAATTGTTTATTCGCTGCGTTGGGATCCAGGTAAGTATCCATCGCTGAGTAGTAGGCATCCAGGTGAGTATCGTAGCTTTTTGTTGAGATCCAAATATGCATAGCTGGTATCAGGTAAGTACGATTTTAAATTTATTTCCAAACAGAAAAATATTTTAAATTCTGAATGGAAAAAATTGATTATTATTCGCTGCGTTGGGATCCTTTTTTTTTTTTTTTTTTTGTGTTTTATTGGTTTTTATTTGATTTTTATTTGTGTTTTTATTGGTTTGTGTATGTTTTGTTTGTGTTTCGTGTTTATTATATGTTTAACAATAGTGTTCAGTGTTTGTTGTACATTGCATGTTAAGTTTAGTAGTGCCAGTCATTGCTTGTATACATCACAGTCATTTAAAGATATATTATCACAGGTCTTTTTCAATAAATAAATAAATTAAACATGAATTAAATGACTTTTCTTTACATTACATTGGCACTACATATATAATAAATTAAAACATTAAACAAAAAAGAAAGGGGAACCGCTTAGCTTTATGACATGGCAACATTTAAGAAGAGGAAAGCTGCCGAAGTATTACCCCGAAGGGCAACTTTTGTATCGGCAACTTTCCTTTGACATTACGGGTATGCGGTTATCTGGTCACATTGCAAAAAATTTAAAACGATTAATATCGATTAATAAAAACATCTCATCCCTAGCATTAATTGCACATCACTGGCGCCGATGTATCATCCCTATCTACTATTACCATCTCTACTACAATACAGCTTTGGCGATAAAAATGCATGTGGTAAGTGCAAATTTAAAATCAATTTAAATAACATTAATAAAACAATTTAAAAGTTACAGGAACATGGAAAATGGACATCAAGGCATCATCATAGCAGGTCATCAGGAACTGGCAGCAAACTTGAAGCTGGCGTCGGTAAAGTTCATGACGCCGACGTCGACGCCGCAGCACAGACAAATTGGCCGGCTGCGAGAGATGGTGTGCACAACAAATTGGAGCTGGCGGATGCAGACGCAGGAACAAAAGGGACAACAGGTGAGTACATAACAGGTGGCTTCTCTCCTTCATACTGTTAATAGAAGGGGAGGGGTCATAAATTGCGTCATATATTAATATAATATTCTTTTATTTTCAGATGGCAGAAAAAAGAAGAAGACGGCAACAAGTGACGCCGCCGTATCCATGGCAACGACGTCGCGGTGGCGTCGCCGGAGCAGAGCAGCGAATTCCCACGAAGAAGCCGGCGCAAAATAAATTGACGGCGCCGACATGGCACGGACGCCGACAAAAAGTGCGCATTTTCGAGGAAGGAACGGCGCCAGCAAAATGGGCAGCGCAAAGCCCAAATAGAAGCGCAAATGGTAAGTTTTAGTGGCAGAATATTGGCTTCATTTTCTTATTCCTTTTTCTCATCATTTTAGCAGCAGCTGCGCAGCCGATAAACGCCGGCCAAATTTATTTATTATTCAGCCACTCGTCAAGAAGGTTCCATGGTAAGAATTTTAGCATTGTTTATATCATTTTCTCTTCTAATTTTCCTTTTATTTTCAGATATCCAAAACATGAGGAAGAGGACGGACGCGCATCATGGTGTGCCAACGTGGGAACATGGACCAACGCTGGACATCACCGATGGACCAACGAGGGACCAACGCGGGACATCGACAGTGGACCAGCGAGGGACGCCATCGGAGGGTAGCTGCAGGCGCTGATGCATGGCGGCCACAGCTGCTGGACCCCGATGAGGACGCCGAGGGAGGATGGTCACAGTGAGTAGCGCCAACGTGGGACCACACAGTGAAAGCCGGCGCCATCATCGCTGACCTAGGCATGGCGTCGGCTGCGGTGGCTGCCGTCGTGTATTGGCTGCCGTCGTGAAATTGGCCACAAACGACTGGGGCATGCCGCCGCCGTAAATGGATGCGCCTCACAGTGACCACAGCAGCGATGGACGATAAATTATTCAGGTACGTAGTGAAGTGGTGTTTGTTTACATTATTTATATAAAAATCGTCAATTTCAGGAACGCCAAATTCAAGAGAAGGCGCGTCAAGCTGGGCCATGGCCGGACATATGGGAGCCGAGGTGGCCATCCAGGAGGCACCTACGGCTGCAGGATCGATGAAGGGGAAAGGACCCCTACCCCTGCGCATGGTTGCTGGCCAGGAAGAGGCCCATAAGGGAGTCGTCCCCAATGGCGGCCATCCGTTTTTTGAACGGGTTATCCGTGACGTCATCGGCATCATTGGGTGAGTCATTTTTAATCAATAAATTATCAAATTTTTTAATTAATTCCTTATATATCTTTTCTAGGTAGTCAAGTCTGGACATCACTTTCTCCTGGAGGTCATCGTTCATCAGCTGCTGTTTTTTATTGATTATTTTGTTGTTTTTATTGTTTTTTGTAATACATTGCGGCTCCTGTTGGCGGCCAGGGTGGGTGTGGGTTTTTTCAGCACATTTCAGGGGGCGGGACTTTTCCATGGAAGGATGACCCCGAGAAGGATGACCCTTAGAAGGATGACCCCCAGAAGGATGACCCCCAGAAGGATGACGGCGTTGGTTTTTCCCTTTTCTTGTTGTTTCCTCTTTTCGTGGGCGTTGAGGCACATGCTGCCCCCTCTTACCCGTTGCCCTCTTTGCAGCCCATCTTCTTACCTCTTGGTAAAACGGGCAACCCCTATAGCCACTTGTGTGGTCCCCGTTGCAGTTGCAACAACGAGCGGGGCTGCTTCTCGGCTTGGTGCATGAAGATGTAGGGTGTCCACCTGCACACTTCATACACCTGGGGCTATTTCTGCACCCATAATGGGTGTGCCCAAAAAATTGGCACCGGTAGCACTGGAGCAGCATTCGCTTCCTATTGTGCCCGGTATTACCCGCCTGCCGACTGTCTTCTTCTTCTACCAAAGAGGGCATCCGCTTTACAGCAGGGGGCAACAAGGGTTCATGGCTCCTCACCGACTCTTTTCTGTCTTTTAGGCAACAAATAGCTACAGCACTCTTGTATGCTGGTGTCCGAAAGTCGGGAGGAGAAAGAGGGGTAAAATTGGCGCCATAATTACTTAGATTTCTTAGCAACGCCGTTGCATAGCTGCCCTTCCCCGATGTTTGTGCCCTTGGTCCCATGGCAACAGAGCTGGTTTCCACCGGCTGTACATGGACCGGGGATTTGCCTTTGGGCCTTTTAGCCGCCACATTGGTGCCAGTATGGGGCGTCAAACGTCGCTTCATTTTTCCCGCCAATTTCATGTTGGCCAGGAAGCTCTCGAAGCTACCCTCATCGGCAATGGTGTTCCCACCCCTGGGCGAGGGGGTGCACACCGACTTATGCAGTTGTGCAGTGTAGGCGTACACATCTAAGGTGCTAGTGTACTCACCATGCAAGGGTGTAATAGGGGACATGCAGGGGGGGGCAGCAGTCTCAAAGTAGCATGAAGTCTCCATTCTCTCTTCTTCTTTGCAGGCGCCAAAATTCCAAGGATGCTTCCAGTTGCCGCCAAAAATAAGGTCCGGTATGTGTGTGTGTGTTTTATTGGTTTTTATTTGATTTTTATTTGTGTTTTTATTGGTTTGTGTATGTTTTGTTTGTGTTTCGTGTTTATTATATGTTTAACAATAGTGTTCAGTGTTTGTTGTACATTGCATGTTAAGTTTAGTAGTGCCAGTCATTGCTTGTATACATCACAGTCATTTAAAGATATATTATCACAGGTCTTTTTCAATAAATAAATAAATTAAACATGAATTAAATGACTTTTCTTTACATTACATTGGCACTACATATATAATAAATTAAAACATTAAACAAAAAAGAAAGGGGAACCGCTTAGCTTTATGACATGGCAACATTTAAGAAGAGGAAAGCTGCCGAAGTATTACCCCGAAGGGCAACTTTTGTATCGGCAACTTTCCTTTGACATTACGGGTATGCGGTTATCTGGTCACATTGCAAAAAATTTAAAACGATTAATATCGATTAATAAAAACATCTCATCCCTAGCATTAATTGCACATCACTGGCGCCGATGTATCATCCCTATCTACTATTTTTTCAGGGCGTGCCTTCGGTGAGGTCACAACTAGCACTGATAGCCACTACCAGAGTGGTTACAGCTTTTTATTTGCGTAATATACAGTGATTACTTACACTAATACATTTTATACAAATATTAGATAACATAAGAAGCAATTATTAACAAGCTTATAGAAATAATTGAATTAATAACAGTTTTAAACTTGTGAGGAACATGTAAGATTTGGAGTAACAATAAAAAGAGATATTAATGGAATAGCTGAAGTATTTTAAACATATATACAGGCTTAACGTAAGGATAATTATTTATTAAGATCATAGAGACCGAGCGTCAACCTGGAAAACTGGAGGCCAAGTCAGAGGTCAGAGCGCTGGGTAGATGGGAGCCGAATTGGAAAGCCGGTACTCAATAGCAGAGTAGCTGGTTAGAGGCTACCACTAGAGTTAGGAATTCAGTACTTAATAACATAATTTGAAGGAGTTGGTATTCAGGAGCCAAAGATGAACGGAGGCGTGGTTGAGCAGTAGTGATGTAGAATAAATAGCAGTAGGATACAATTAGGTAGTTACAATGAGTATAAAAGAGTATTGACTTCACTTAGATAATAGTAATTTGCAATCGTAGGGTCCGAGCATCAACCTGAAGTCCTGGTGGCCAAGTCAGAGATCAATTGCTGGTAGGATGGGGTTGAATTGGAAAGCCGTTGCCCAATAGCAGAGTAGCTGGTTTGGAGGCTACTACTGGAGTTAGGAATACAGTGCCCGATCACCAAGTTTGAAGAGATTGGTAATCAGGAATCGCAGGTGTAGTTGGGCAGGAGTGATATAGAATTATTAGCAGTAGAATACAATTTGGAGTACTTAAATAGTAGATATAACAGAATTAGGTAATAATAATGAGTATAAAAGATTATTGATTTCAATTAGATAATACTAAATCGCGGTCGTAGGGTCCGAGCATCGACCTGAAGTCCTGGTGGCCAAGCCAGAGATCCAAACGCTGGGAAGATGAAGTTGGATTGGAAAGCCGGTGCCCAGTGGCAGGATAGCTGGTTGGAGGCTGCTACCAGAGCTAGGAATACAGTGCCCAATCCCCAAGTTTAGGGAAATTGGTAATCAGGAGTCACAGATATACGCAGGTGTAGTTGGGAAGGAGTCAGGGGTAGCAGGTGCCTAAGAATTTTGAGGAGTAAATTAGTAGGAAAGGTATGGTTATTCTGCCTTTCCCGGCAAATCAGTGCCATAATAATCTTATAATTTTAGTAAATTGGCTGACCAGTCAAGGGTCAGATACATTTGTTTATTTAAGGTAGAGCTTCGTTTAGTTAAACAACATGTATAGCAACAAGTTGCTAGGTAGTGTAGAAACAATTGTTTCAGAGACAGGGTTGCTGAGTAATAGCAAAATAAGGAAACTGAGAGTAAGAGTGCAGGGTAGGAGAGCATATGAGGAATATACATGGGTCTCACTCTGACCAACGATTTTAAGCATAACTGGCAAAGCTAAGTTGGTATTAGTGCAGTGTGCAATGCAAGAAAAACAATAATTGAATAGCACATGTTGTTTACAATTTTAGTAATAAGTTTTCTCATTGCAAATCCATTACCAACCAGGAGACCAGTGCTTGTATAGGAGCAGTCGCAGGGCAAACATCAGTTTTTATTAACAAATGGTATGTAGCAGAATTTGTAGGGCAAAATAAGTTCAATCTAACAGCTACTGCATTGAGCATTCCACAGTAGACAGACAATTTTATTTGGAGTAAAGCAGCAGGAATAATTAGATGTAAAATTTCCAATTTCAGATTTATACACCATTAATAATCCAGGATGTGTACAGGTATCAGACGTAGAGCAGAGTTCAAGTTGGATTAGCCACAGGTATGTACGCAAGTTTGCAGCAGTAAGGCGAATTAATCAGAATTCTATTTCCATTATAAGGTGTGGAGAGGTACTCATAAAGCAACTCGCAGATCCAGGATTGTATTAGCAGATCAACCTCAAACCAGTGGCCACAGGAATTGAGATTGGAGAACCTCAGCAGGTGGGCAGATTTATTTGGAGTGGATTAATAAAATTAATTAATTCAAAATTTCTCATTGCAGATCCATTTCTAATCAAGAGACCAGCGCTTGTATAGGAGCAGTCGTAGGGCAAACATCAGTTTCTATGAATACATGGTATGTAGCAGAATTTGTAGAGGCAAAATAAGTTCAATCTAACAGCCATTGCGTTGAGCATTACACAGTAGACTGGCAATTTTATTTGGAGTAAAGCAGCAGGAATAATTGAATGTAAAATTTCTAATTTCAGATTTATACACCGTTAATAATCCAGCATGTGTACAGGTATCAAACGTAGAACATAATTCAAGCTGGACTAACCACAGGTATGTATACAAGTTTGCAGTAGTATGATGAATTAATCTGAATTTAATTTCCATTATAAGGTGTGAAGAGGTATTCATAAAGCAACTCGCAGATCCAGGCTTGTATTAGTAGATCAACCTCACGCTAGTGGCCACAGGAATTGAGATTGGAGAACCTCAGCAGGTGGGCAGATTTATTTGGAATGAATACATAA